TTTGGGCAACGTGGTCTAATGGAGGGTGTCCTTGCCCATAGCAGAGGGGCTGGAACCAGATGATCTTTAAGGTCCCTTCCACCCCAAACCATTCTATGACTCTATACTTCTATGGTAAGGGAAGTTCACACCAATCAGCATGCAGAGGGGGTGTGTATCTAGACAAACACAGCAAACCCAAATTCCCCTGCATAGACCTTGCTATAGACCAAAGTTTGCAATTTCAAGGCATCCAACAGTTTTGGGGTTACATCTGAAATTTGACATAACTTGGAAGATGAAGTAGGATCTGGTTTAAGAGACTGTCTACTTAAAGTTAAGAATTTTTCTGTAGCTCCCTTAAAAAAACCTCTTCATCACTATCTATTTTGACTGAAAGCTATTTTTATAGATATTTGATAAATATCATCTTTAAATAATAGATGCATTATTTTTTAAATACTATCTGATTAGGAATGGAATTTTGAATTAGATTGTGATCACTTTTATGTAACTGTAGAAGATATACAAGAGTGGATGTCAGTAGAGGGGTGACTCACTGACTCAACATTAATAAGGCCAGAAGGAAACACAGTGATCACCTAGTCTGACCTCTTCTTTAAATTACAGAACTGCCTGGAATTACTGTATGAAGTGCTAGAAAAGTATCCTGTCCTCATTTTTCAGTTTCCAACATAAAGACCCCATTTCAGTCTCTGGAAATTTTTTCTAATTTTTAACTAATTCTTTCTGCTAAATTTCTGCCTTATGCCTACATAAACTTGTCCAGCTTCCTCTTCTAGCCAGTGGATCCTACCATCTTCTGGGCTCAAGAGTTCATTATCACAGTCTGTGGACCTGCCTCATCACAATGAATCTGTGCAGCTATGATGGCACCACTGACTGATGATGGTTACCACCGCCTCATTATCACCATCTCTGCTCTCCTTGATCACGCACTGTGCAGCTGTGCCCTTGCTGGTGAGGACACTGTCCTGCCAGCTTTGTTGTCACTCTGGCTCCTGCTTCACCTTCCCTGGGGAGCAGCCCACTCTTGCTGCTCCTTGACAGAGCCTGACCATGCTGAGAACAAGTCCCTTAAAACTAAGTTTTTGCTTTTCTGGCTGAGAAGGAAATTACGGCCCAATCTTCACAGAGAAATACTGGATCGGGCTTTTCCTGAGTAGAGCATAGGTGGTGTGAGGAAAATCAGGTTCATACAAAATCAAACAGCTTGAAAGCATGCAGGTTATGAGATTTGATGAGATTAAGCCACTTCTGGGTTTGTCTAAGTATACACATGTATAGTTAATAAGCCTTTTCTTCTCTGCTAATGAGCACAGATTTGAAGAACTCACTTTGAGTAAAAGTACTGGAGGATAAGAACATATTCTAGAAAAACCATTAAGATGATGATATCCTAATGGCTTCATATGAAGCAGATGAAAAATGCTGGCTGAAATTAAAGCATCTACACACACATAAAAGAAAAAAATTGACTTAAGAAAGTTAGACACAAGGAGACAATATAGAGACAGACAAAGCATTTAACTTATGATGTGACATATCAATGAGAGTTTTTTATCATGGGATCTAATTAATACTGCACATGTGTTGTCACTAGGATCACTCACATCACAGTTCTAACTAATTTTATTTCTCATGACCACTCAAATTAAGTAACATACTTACTCACACAGTGGAAAAAGTTGACGTCTGAGAATGTGCATTTCCCATTCAATCACATAGCAAAACACTTTTTAAGCCCTTTAGGCAGATGATGTATTCCTAATCATGCATTCAGCTCAAAATATCCATGCCTTGCAGATATTACGTGCCTTCCTTCCTTGCTAAAAAAAAAAAACCCACTCAAAAACTTCTTCTCCACATAACCAATATCTTATGAAGTTAAAATCTTATTGTCTTGAATCTCTCTCTTTTTAACTCAGTGTATAAAATGGAAGCAACATAATTACTGTCATTGAGCTACAATGTGGCATGAGTGCCTTTCTGGTTCCCTTCCCAATATTTTTGAGGAGAACACTTGGATATTAGGGCTTGGTAAAATGGGGCCTGTGTGTGCCATGTGACTCCACGCTTCTTTAAGGGCCATACTCCAAATGGATGTCAGTTACTGCAACAGGACTAGCTTAGGAGCAGTATAATTAGCTGCTGGTATGGATCAATGACACCAAGCTGTGTGGTGTGGTTGACACGCTGGAGGGAAGGGATGCCATCCAGCGGGACCTTGACAAGCTTAAGAAGTGGGCCCGTGCGAACCTCATGAAGTTCAACAAGGCCAAGTGCAAGGTCCTGCACGTGGGTCGGCGCAATCCCAAGCAAAACTACAGGCTGAGCAGAGAATGGATTGAGAGCAACCCTGAGGAGAAGGATTTGGGGGTGTTGGTGGGCAAGAAGCTCAACGTGAGCCGGCAATATGTGCTTGCAGCCCAGAAAGACAACGGTGTCCCAGGCTGCATCAAAAGAGGTGTGACCAGCAGGTCGAGAGAGGTGATCCTGCCCCTCTATTCTGCTCTCGTGGAGTACTCCACCTGGAGTACTGCATCCAGCTCTGGGGGCCCCAGTACAAGAGAGACATGGAGCTGTTGGAGCGAGTCCAGAGGAGGGCCACGAAGCTGATCAGAGGGCTGGAGCACCTCTCCTATGAGGACAGGCTGAGAGAATTGGGATTGTTCAGCCTGGAGAAGAGAAGGCTCCGGGGAGATCTAATTGCAGCTTACCAGTACCTGAAGGGGCCTACAGGAAAGCTGGGGAGGGACTGTTTATCAGGGAGTGTGGTGACAGGACAAGGGGTAACGGGTTTAAGCTGAAGGAGGGTCAATTTAGATTATCTATTAGGAAGAAATTGTTTACTGTGAGGGTGGTAAGGAACTGTAACTGGTTGCCCAGAGAGGTTGTGGATGTCCCCTCCCTGGAAGTGTTCAAGACCAGGCTGGATGCGGCTTTGGGCAGCCTGGTCCAGTGGAGGGTTTCTCTGCCCATGGCAGGGGGGTTGGAACTAGATGATTTTTAAATTCCCTTCCAACCCAAATCAGTCTATGAGCCTATAGTTCTATGATTCTATGAACAATAGGAGATAATTGTCCATAATTCCCAAGATGAGAAAAAGCACGTAGTCAGGTCATGCAGAAACATACAGTTTACAAAGTAAATTAGTCATGAGCTTCTCCTGAAGGCAAATTCTGTAGCAGAAAATTGATTTCTTGTTAGTTTTACATGACTCTGCTTTCGCTACTGAAGGATACAAGGGTAGCATTTTCAATGAAGTGGTTGATAACCAAAAGTATCTAAACACAGATATCTTTTGAGTCATTACTTTTTCTACAGATACTGACATTTGATTTTACAATTCCATTTTATCTACTGGAGATAAGTAATGCGGGTTGTGTGTCAAAGCCCTGGCTAGCATCAGCGAGACCATAGAAAGGAATCCCCTTTCTTCTCAAGAAGTGCAGTCAGATGGCTGACATTAACCCACTAGTTTACCTCAGGAGTATGCTCTTACTGTGAATACCCTTCTCAAAGCCACCTACCTGCCATGGTTTGCAGAGTGGTGCAGTCTTAGAGTGCACAAACTGGATGCCTTTCAGATGAAGTCAGCCATGAAGTGGCACTTCCACGAAATGCTTCCAAGCCACAAACAAACAAAACCCTCCCAAAATACATTCTGTAGGGGTGTAGAAACCCCTGCATCATCTATTTTCCTCCACAGAGCCATTTCTATTGGACCACATTGCATGCTAAAGGAAACATAACCTTCATTAGATTTAAGTAAGGGAGGATCAGGGTTTATGCAAATGATTAAAAAATCATTCAAGATTAAAATAACATTGGAAAAGAAAGGAATGTCTCTTTTTGGAGAAAAAAAAAATCTTGTTTATAGCAGTTGACAGATAACTACTAGATCACAACCAGTAATATCTCAAGGACAAAATCTTAATCTTCAAAATTTTTACACAGTTAAGTTCAATTTAGGCTCTGCAAACTTCTGGTGAAGTCAACTGAGCTGTGTATGTGAATATATATTTAAATGTGTAGTTAGGAATGCTTAATCTTACAGAAATTAATCAGAGGCTAAGTTCCTGAACTAGGTCCTTAACAGAAACATTTTTCTGGTAAAGCTATAAAGTGGATGTCAGAGTGATTAAACGTGTCTTGAAACATATAAGACACTTAGCTCATTGCTCATCATAGAATTTTTTTTTGCTAAACTTAGTGGGCTGTACTTTTGTGCAAAACTAATTTGGGAAAAAAAATTTAAAAAGATATCATTGGGTACTTTGAACCCTTCATGTAAAATTTAAATTTTCAATTGACTTCCAAAGTTTCATTATCTAAATAAGGACTATACAACCCTGCCTTTCTTGGCTGTGTCTTTGGTAGTAAATACATGCACCGAAGACTGTTCTTAGGATCTATCATCCTACCTCAAAGAAAAGGATTGTTACCCGAAACTATGTACTGGGAATGGACCCCTGGCCCATGCTAACTGTTGAAGTGCTCTGGGAAATTGTTTGAGAATGGTAGTTAACAGAGGCCAGTGGAATGGCCAGGGCCATTCTTACAGTTTAACAATATTTGAATATCTTGGGATGTTAAATTTACTAGTATAAGTATAGCCATTGAATAATCATTAACTGACCAACACCTACTGACTGGTAGGTCCCAGAGCAGCAGTGCTCCAGACCCTTTCCAATAACAAAACAGACTTTGAAATGTTGCCATAAATGGCAATTCCTTTAGGACACTTTTTTTTTTTTTTTCTTACAGTAAATTTATTTGCAGAAATTCAGATTAGTGACAGCTTTGATCTTCAGTGTAAAGTGGCTGACCCTGAAAAATGGTTGGAATTATAATCCTGAGCAGTTAGTTCCCAGAGTTTACATACTGCAATATCTCCCACAGAAATGTCAGAATATGTACATAAAGTTGAATGGTCTCACATATACAACGCAATTCCCATGTCTTTGAGCAAACACTAACCTTCTGTTCCATAAGTAATGTGTTTGTAGGGATTGCTGCAAATGCCTTGTAGCTTGTCTTGATCTTGTACTGCTAAAAGGGTAAACCAGAAAGCAGGAAGAGAAGTAAAACAGGGTAGAAGAGGGAGAGGGAGAGAGAGGGAAGAGAGGGGGAAGGTATGACAGAATGAAAGACGATTCCAATTGTCTTGCAGACACGTTGCAACAATACAATGCTTATGTATTACCTAGGAAAGCTATTTCTTACAGAAAATCTAGTGTTTCTGTTAAGATTTTAAATGACTGTAATATACATTTTTTTGTTTTAGGAATTAAGTAGCACTAATTGAATTCCCTGTACCAGCTTATAACTTCCAAAGTGATTTTGACCAATTTCTGCTGACTACTAGCCTTAAATGAGTATCAGGAGAGGCTGTGAGTTTTTTCCAAGTTTGCTTGTGATTTGATATGATAATGCAGAGCTACTTCTACCAGTACATACACCTCAACAACTGCTGCTGTGTGGTGTGATCCTGGACCACTAAGTCAGAGGGATTTCTGTAATTGGCTTTAATGAGACTGATTAGGATCCTTAAATGCTGAATTATTTGTGTGAGTGGGTAGATCATTTAAGTCATTGCACAGCTTTTCATGTCCTGAATAAGTAACTCTCCACCCAAACAAATATTTCAAAACAAGTATAGGACACTCTAGCAAAGCATACGGAACTGACAATCTAAACCATACAAAATGCCTGGTTTGGGGTACAAAAGTTTTAAGATCAGCCTTAAAAATTATTCTTTTTAAACAATTTATATTTTAGACCATAAACTATTTAGAAACCATATTTTCTACATTTTCTTTGAAATTATGGAGGTTGAATTCAGTAATTTTTAAATGATTGATGAGATTCTTCTATACTTACATGAGTTCAAGAGCTAGGATTTTTGATCACGTGAGTGCTGGAATTTATTTCTTTTTAACAATTAAAACATAGTTCCTTTTTCAGCAACATTCTAATAAAAAAATCAGAAATTCACATGATAATAGAGTTTTAAGTTATTGATTGATTATTTCTGTGATCAACACCCAGAAATAAAGTTACTTGTTAATCCATTCAAGTTTATTAATGTACTGCTGTCTGCAACAGTGAATACTGGTGATTATGAGATAACAGACCGAGCAGCATGCTGTACTTTGGGTCATTCTTTTGTCACTTTTTTCCTTTTCTTTATATCTAATAAAAGTCTTGATGACAGCAGAGGGGCCAAAATTTAATTCAGCTAAGAGAAACATATCATCCTTGCACCTCTCTTGAAATACTGTAGGACACCACCTTTTAATTCTTTCTATAGATAATATTATGTTTGTTTTCAACTTTGCTCATATTTCTTAGTCAGAAGTTGGAGACTGGCAGACATTCAAGAAGTTAATAATCACGATAATCATATTGAATGAACAGTCTGACAAAGCAGATGAATGCAAATGCTGGAAAAGCACTTCTTTTCCTTTTTTTTTGGGGGGGGGGTTTAGTAATTTATATGAGATTTAGTGATTCTAACTTGGATGTCTACCATTTAGGTGCTTCAGTCAAAACTAATGCCTTTTATAGTCATAGACATTTCTAAAGGATAATTCATCTCATCCCAAAATAGGCACCTAGAAAAGTAAAATAAAATCATCCTGTAAATTCACCATATTATCTTCATTAGCTCTAACAGAATTGCCCAAGTTGTGCTTGGATATCTAACTTTCAAATGTCAAAAGTCATGTGAGATAAATCCTGCTCTTTGAACATTTAGACAGCAACACTGCTATAAATGTGTGTACGTTCATATATATATTTATGTATATACAAAATCTATATCCAGATAAGACATAAAATACTGTGCACTGAAGATGGAAGACCAAAATTCCAAATATTAAAATTGGCATATCCACAAAATGTATCCTTGTTTGCCTGTAATTTATATTCAATCAAGGAAATTATATAATTGAATATATAAATGAAAAGCCCATGGGCTTTTACATATGATGAAATGGACATCATATATGATAAGAATTCTGTGACCACTTTGAAGTTAGCTGTACTGTTATATGAACTAAACAAAGACGTATCAGACTGTTAAAATGTAAAAGTTTCTATACTGCTTTAATGTGCTTTATCACTTCCAGATCCTGTGAGCAATGTGCTACTGTCACAGTGTTTGAGGCAAGTGGAAAGTCTTTAATTCAGTTTCTCATCTATATGAATATGTTTCTTGACGTATTAGTTCACATTACTTTAAATTATTCTTCAATGTCTAAATACATTTAATAATCTGATACATAGGAATCTAGAAGTATTTTTAAACAGCCATGGGCAGTTAGGTTTGCTGGCCTGCACCATGGTCTAGTCAGAAGCAAACCAACTCCAATATAAAAGCTCTGGCAAATATCAGCCTGGGGAGTTTTGGGGAAAATGCCCTACTTTTCTTGCTGAAATGATCACCTAGGGCACCCACAGGGCATTGCAAAGTGTGCTAGACAGATACCTACAAAGGTTTAAAATCAGTGACTAACCATGAGAGTGTAGTCCTCCTCATCAGTAATCTTTCCTGCTTTGTGGTAGATTTTGCAGCTGTGCTGAGCTCCATGCTGCTACAGTTAGTTTGTTCCCCAGCTGTTTTGGGTAGATCTACATGCATTCCTGTGCTACATTCAAACAGGAAAAATCAAAGCATATGTAGGAATGATACTCCATGAAACCACTGCAAAGAGTTTTCAAACAACAGCCAGAAATTTTTATTCTAATCTGTTCCTGCAGAATCAGCAATTTTATCTGTCTCCATTCCATCCTAGTGTTCATTTTGCTATATTAGGTCCATGAGAACATTATTAAAGTGCCTGCAAAGTCCAGGGAGAGGGTTTTTATTTCCTGTGGTCACCCACAGTTCACACCTCACACTGATCTGCGGATTTATTTTTATATTCACTTTGTGAAACAGTCTATGTTCACCAATGATTTAAAAATATAAGACAAATTATAAAGAATGGGAAAGCACATGTGTTTATACATACAAGTGCAAACAGTTAAAGAAGTTCATGTTTTATTTTGATTTGCATGAATCGGTGCATGCATAGGCATAGACACATAAAAGCTCTCCATTAAAGAATTCTTTTTGCATAATTGCCTTGATATCATGCTAATGAAACAGTTTGATGTGAATACTGAAAAGAACATCTAATGTCAAAATTCTGGTTTAAGAGGTTGAAGCAACATTAAGGTTGCAAAATTAGACATGCCAAAGTCAAGCACTTCTAGATGCTGTGCTTTTTCCTTGATATTCACTTAGCACATTCATACATGCAAAAATTTTGTCACGCATCAGCACTGATCAGATGGAGCAACCTGCTTTTGATCTAGTTCTAAAGTTGAGCTGATTGGTACTAAAGAGACCTAAATGCTGCTTAGGATGTTAATGTTGTCTCTCCTCAATCTTTTCCCTTTTTTCTCTGGAAATATACTGAGATTTGTGAGTGAAATTTTATCAGAGAGCTTGGTACCATTAACACATCAGTAAAGTTCACTGAGCTATGCTGTAAAATAGGTATGGAAATAAGTGAGAGCAGGAGAAAAGGGGGTGTTGAATGCACACTATTATTAACTATAAATGAAGTCTCAGCCTCACAGTTTAAAGCCACAAGAGACCTTTCCTGCACTGAACACCCAGCCGCATTTGATTTAGAGATTTCAGATCTTCCACATGCCCAGTGGAGCCAGCTTCATCTGCGTGATTAAAAGTCACACCAGACCGACGGTCCGTCTGTTAAGCTGGAGGACACTCTCCCAGTCTCAACGGGGTGGTGAGGCAGTTTCAAAAGTGCCACCATATCACATGGTAAAGCAGAATTAGCAGGAAAAGGGACAGCAGGGAGGACAGAAAGGGTGTAATAACCCCTGCAAATATAAACCCAGGCAATAGCTTTGTGTCACAGAGAACTTGCTTACCCCCAGAGACTCTCGCAGTGCTCATTGCACCAACTAGCAGAAACCACGACTGCTTTGCAATCTGCAGGCTCAGTCATGCCTTCCAGTGTTGTCTCAGGGGCATTTCTCTTGGAATTTCTACAATTTCATTTCTCTTTTTGTTTCATTAAGTAATACTGGCAGGGTGTAGCGACACTGTACAGCTGCGCTTGGCACAATGATTCCTCTTGGGTCGCTTGGTTTTTAAAAGAACCATTCATGACAATTACTACTTTGTGCTGATTTAGACCTCTCATTTTCAATTAACATTTTCCAAGCAGTTCAAGTCACCCCTGCCATGGTCAAGCTGTTGTTAGGAAAACATCTGACACAACTTGATCTGGCAGACCAGGCTGTAATTTTGTGTTGTGAACAAATAAATCAATAAACTATGATAGCCTTTCTGTGATGGGCAGAGCTCAGATATCAGCAAGAGGAGGCACAAGGGAAGCACAGAGTGCAAAGATAAGATAAAAGAGGCTGGAAAGCCTTCTGCAGGTTTGATGTCTTCTGCCACCAGCTCTTCCTTTTTGCATGTGTTCCTTTTGTTTTCAGCTACCTGCTGCATGTTTTTTGATCAGCTTTCCTTCCCCTTCCCATTCTTGAGATTTATCTTTAGGTTTAAAGTGTGACTGGTTCCCAAGCCCTCCTGCAGCAATCGCCATCATTCTTATTCTCACTCTGCTGGGACTCTCCCGCCTTTGGGTGAATGACAAACAGCAGGAGCGTGACTGATCCGTCAAGTGTGAGACTTTCATATTTGCAGTAGCCCATGTTGTAGGAAGCTTGTTTTCTTTTTTCCCCTCGCCCTCTGTCTAGCGCAACAACATGAGAGAAGTACCAAAGAAAGGGAAAAAGCAGGAGACTGTCTTTGTCTTCCCTCTCTGGCTCTTGATCCTATAGTGCTTGCTCAGGCTGAGCTTAGCCATACCTCTGGACTGGTCCTGGAGAGGTGCAGAAGGGCTCGGGTGACTACAGCCTCCTGGGGACAGGGAGGACAGGTGGGACGGGGTGCTTGGGAATCGGTTGTCACATCAATCAGATTAAGCTGCTTCTAGCTCAGCCCTGCACCTAAGATCACCGTA